CTAGGCACCTCCTGTCCTATTAAGGATGGACAAGGATTGGTGCTTAGCCCTATTGTCATCTGAGAGGCTTCACCCAGCAACTGATGAAAACAGATGCAGAGACCCACAGACAATCTTTACAGAGCTGCAAAAGAGGGGGAGGAAGGATTATAGGACACAGAGGGGCCAAGGACATCACAAAAAATAAATAAATAAATAAACTAACCTGGACTCATGATATTATAGAAACTGAAGTAACAACCAGGGAGCTTGTCTGGGACTGACCTAGGCCCTCTGTTGTTATAAGCATTCTTTCCTGCCAGCCTGGTCCCACAGTCCCAAATGAACACTCAGAGACTTGTATTAATTATTAAACTGTTGGCTTGTGACGAGGGCTTCTTATTGGCTAGTTCTGTCTTAATTAATAACTCATTTCCATTAATCTGAATATTTCCACATGGTCTTATCTTACAACATAATGCCTGACCTGCGTCCTCTCTTCCTGGGTTCACATTACAACTCCTCTCTACCTACACCTCCCAGAATTCTCCTCATCTCCTTGACCTGCCTATCTTGATGCCCTATTGACCACATTGTTTTTTTCATCAACCAATAAGAGAAATGCACGTACAGAGGACATCCCCATCACTCTGCATACATATTACAGTTATGTAGCTTGGTCTTATCGGATTCTGAACAGTGGAGTCAGGCCAGGGGCCATCTTGGACTTTGTTACTTGATTTTGGGCCACTTTCCTTATCCTTCCTGCTTTCTTGTAAAACCCCTTGTGGGCAGCTGGGCCTTTCCATAACAAAAATTCATTAAGAAAATTCACCACAGGTCAACATTTTCTCATTTGAGTTTCCCTCTTTCAAAGCACTTCACTGCTGGATTCAGTGCAAGGTCACCTCACTCAGGATGCTTTATTTTTGTAGTTCCCTCCATTTGCCTGAAAACTACATGAAGTCATCAATTGTAGTAGTACTCTGTTGTGTAAATGTACCACATTTTCTTTATCTGTTCTTCAGTTGAGGGACATCTAGGCTGTTTTCAGCTTCTGGCTATTACAAATAATGTTATTATGAGCATTGTTGAACAAATGTCCTTGTGGTATGATTGAGCATCCTTTGGGTAAATGCCCAAGAGTAGTATCACTGCATCTTTAGGTAGATTGATTCCCAATTTTCTTAGAAACCACAATAATGATTTCCAAAAAGGCTGTATAAATTTTTACTCCCACCAGAAGTGTTTTGATTACAAACGGGGGCTACCACACTGCTTTTAACCCTTTCTTCTCTTGTTTGTTTCTTCAAGTAGATTTTAGATTGAGTGATGGTGGGGATTTTTATATTTAGTAGTTGGCTCCATTACAAATGTCTGTGTACCACAAATAGCACTCTAGCAATTATTAAGCTGGAGATTATTTCAAAATAATCTGAAAGCCCAATTGTTTCATTGATGAATTTTTTTAGCACTATAATTTTCCAAGTTAAGGAGCCAACTTCCATGTATTCAAGCAGACTTAGTCATACAAAAACTTTAAAGTGAAAAATCCAGTATAAAATGCTGTCTTATGCATAACTATCCACTGGTTTCATGGCTTCAAGTTTTAAGTTTTCAACCATATGAAATGGTGTGGCAAAGCTATGAGCATTCAGTGAAGGACTGGAAAGGAAAGGAAAACCTTTCCCCATGTGTTTAAAAAAAAAGGTGACTACTCTTCAATTAAAAATTCTCAAAATGGAATCTCTTCAAATTCAATGCCACTGGCGACAAACAACAGTCAGGAGACATTACATAGATGGCTTTTGCTCCATTCAATTGCCAGTGACAACTTAATCACCAGAGTATTTTTATTAGTATAGTTATCTTTTTTGTTAATGCTCTGACTTCAAAGTTGTTTCAGATTTAAGTGCTCTTTTTAAAACCATTTTCTAGAAGCCCTGTTATCTATAGCATTTAGTTTTCTAAGAAAACAAGACAAAACAACAACAAAGAATATCTAGAGCTTCTCTAGGAAGACATATATGACATTATAGCAGGAGGTATTACACCTCTCCTTTGTTTAAATCTGCATTGCATTTAGTTTGATGTTAGGTACATAATATATGCTTAGCAAATACTTGTTTACTTTTGGTCATCTGTTGACTTATAAATATTTTGCTGTGACCTTGGAGTTATTTTCTCATTCTTTTTTCTAGTTTGAGTTCCTTTTAGTTTTTCTACGAATGGCAGGCTGTTTAGATGAGGGTAATGGATGGCTTTAAGGTCAGTCTGAAGAAAGATACTTTTCTTTATTCTAATATCTGACTTGGGACTTGATGCTATACTCATGAGAAACTAGAGACAGGCTAACCAATAGATCTAAAGTATACTTTTGATACTCTAGTTGATGGACATTCTCTCCTCCTTTCTTTGGCTCCAGGAAAAGACAAGGTCTTTCCCCCACAAGCCTGTTTGTGCGTCACAAGAAGGAAAAAAATTAAAGGAATGTAGGTGAAATGAGATCAGCCCTAAGACAGCAGTTTGCTGAAGGGCTAGGTTCACAGTTAAGGGACAAAGCATCTTTGCCCGAGGCTACTGTTTTCTTTTTTGTGTGTTAGTTTCCAAGAGAGACCAATGACCCTGATTCCCTCAAAAAGGAAAAAAGATTGCTGTGTGTGTATTTCCTTTATAATTTAATTTTCACATTAAATAGGGCAAAATGCTGAAAACCAAAACCAAATGACAGGGTCTGAGATAACCACAATAAAGCCAAATGTAAGTTGCATTAGGGACATACTTTTCCAGTTTTTGTAGAGATTATAGATCTTTTGTAGGTGTCTAATTGGTTAGCAAATGGAGCTTAGTCCTTCCTGAGGACAGTGAAAGCCAACATTGCATTCAAAACATATCAATTCAGTTTCAAGTAAGTTCATATATACACATCATAGAGAAATAACTCATGTAACAATGCCTTTCCCTCCCTCCACTTTTTAAAACAACAGTGATCTATACAAGTAGGAGATTTCATAATTGTTCAGATAGCAATGTTTCCTATTTATTTATTTGGTTTTCTGGGATGGGTTCTTACTAGGTATCTTTGGCTGCCCTGAAACTTGCTATTTAGACCAGGCTGGCCTCACACTCACAGAGGTCTACTGGTTTCTGTTTGCTAAGTGTGCCCTTATGCCCTGCTGTGTCTCCTCTTGCAACAATCCTCCACTTTAGGTTTTTGTTTGTTTGCTGAAATTACGAAATTACGGGGTCTCTTAACATGCTACCATTGGTTCCTTTGCCTTCGTGGAGTGCTTTCTGTGCTTGTTTGTACAGCAATTGGTCAATACATTTTTGTTAAATACCTTTCCCAGTAGTCTGAGAGCTCCATGACAGTAAGCTTCATTTGTAGTATGAGGTTGCTGGTACTTAATGACTTTAAGCAGACTTTTAACAGTTAGCTCAGACCTTATCTTCTTCAGGAAGGTGCTCTTGTGCCTCTTTCATATATACTCCATAGGTTTCCTGTCACCTATTTTTGTCCCATGATGGAATTCAGTTAGCCTGTTTCTTCCAGTAGCCTAAAGGGTAAAAATTAGGTCCGCTTTAGCCTTCCAACACAAATCACTTTTTATACCATCTGGCATAGCAATATTTGCTGAAAAGATTATTGAGCAATGCTTAAACTTGGTGTCCTTTTGCTTTGATCCTTACCCACATTTCTTCTACAGGAAGTATGTAAAAATGTTGGTCATATCATTCATTATGTTTCTATAGCAACTTTAGTTTCTTACTCAGTATTTCATGTGGGGTGACATTTAGATAAATTCACCTGTGTATGTGTATAAGGAGTGAATTAAAAAACATACATAATATTCGAAGCTGTGCATGAGCTTCAAGAAAGCAAATGTATCTTGGAGCTTCTGTCCATTGTATCCGAGAGCATACACTTTCTTGCTGCTGTCCTTGGGGAGCTGGCTACTTCAGGAACACAGACATCCTATCCCCATGATTAAAAAGAAACAGCGATAAAGACGAAGCTGGGATTTGAGCTTTTTTGAGATACCTAAAATCGTTTCGCTCTATTCTTCAAGTTACTTGCATCACCACACCCATATGATGGCCAAATTCATCCTAATGAATGATCACTATATTCATTCTGCTACAAATTCATTTCAGCATAACTATTTTCAAATTGAATTGTAGAAGACCAAAAGGCCCCACATCCCAAAGTTATCTTGGTCATTAACAGGGTTATTGACATGTTTATGGACTTGGTGTTTAATCTTTATTACACGAGTCTTCCCCAGTACTTGGCCCTAATTCTGTGATGGCTTGTGGTTCCTTCAAACTCTTTTGGAAAATTTCCTTTGGAAAAGAATGGGGAAATCTAGTTCCCGAGGATGAAAAAGTAGGGACAGTGCATGGGCTGAGTACTATGTATGCTGCTTGCTAGTGCTACATAAAATCACTAGAAGTTGTCTAGGGACTTATCTTTTAAACAAAGCTTTGAAATACATGATAAAACTTACTCTTCACAATAACCCTAAACCTAAACTAGCTTGGGAAATCAAAGATAGGACTCAGCTCAATAGAAAACTGTAAAGAGGTGCTCCGGTTAAAGAGCCTAATATCACCCTAAGGATTACTTGGTGAGGCACTAGTGGCTTTAACCACTAATAACCTGGGAAGAAAGAAATGACTGTATTTCTTTGGCCACAATGCAATCATGGTAAAAGAAGCACCCACTCTTTCCACTTTGACCCATACAATCTGTCTAGGCAATTAATCAGAACTCCCAGTGGTTTTCCTACTAGTTGCCTTGCTAATTAAACCTTCCCACAGAGTGTAGCAAGAGCACACTCCCTGAGGGCCCTCTGACTAAGGGAAGGTATATTGACCAACACTAGTGAAAGCTGAGACTCAGTTGGCCTCATCAGTAAAATGCACAAGAGAATCTCCCCACTCAGTTTCCCTGTCTCTAAAATGGGCTCTCCTTTATCAGTCTAGACTAGTTCCCTTCCTTTTGGTGTTAGGCTATCAGGAAGTGAAATCAGTGCTTAACCACAGCAGAATGTCCTCTGTTAGGCTCCAGTCACCGCTCCGGGCATGCTCAGTAGCCCGGGCAGCTCAGCACCAAGAGTAGGAAGAGGCTTTTGCCCGCCTGGGCGACCGTCAGCGGGCACTTTGATGAATCACGTGTGTTGAGGCCTTCTTAAAGAGATAGGCACCTACTTTTCCTCCACCCTAAACACCGCCCCGAGGGCGGAGGCGGCCGTGGTGATTGCAGCTGCTTAGGGGCAGGGCTTGCCCCAGCGCCCAGTGGTGGCACCGGCGTGGTTGCGTCGGGGTTGCCTGGGATTGGGGAGACCCGGGGGCCTGGGAGCGGTGCTTGGCGGGCAACCCTCTCTGTCCGTGGACGCGGGACATCCGGAACGCTCCGAGGGGCTTTTGCCCTTGAGGAGACTTGGGGTTCCAGGGCGGCAGGTGACAGGGCCAGAGAAAGATGGAGCAGCTTGGGGCGGCGGCGTCGGGAGCTGGAGGCGGCGGCGACGAACCCGGCGTGGGCCGGAGCAACAAGCGGAGCGCAGGGAACCGGGCGGCCAACGAAGAGGAAACGAAAAACAAACCAAAATTGGTAAGTATTCCCGCAACCCCAGCCAGCCTCGGGGACCCGAGAGCCCCGAATCGTCCGGCCGTGGAACATGCAGGGGACCCGGGCCCCCCTCCCAGCTGCAACCGCGCTCTCACCGAGCAACTCGGGGAACGGAGACAGCATGGGGGCGGAAGAGTACCCCTTCTCCACTTAACCCGGCCCTCTCTCGTGTCAGCTTGTGGAGGAGAAAGGCCCCACCCCGACTTGGGGACACCCCGCGTGGCGTCCTAGAGTACTGGGTATGGCTGTTTGTCTAACTTGTGGGCGCGAATCTTGTTTTCGGGATTCCATTTCAGCTCCCACCTCTTGTCAGTTGTTGTTTGGTCTCTTAACACTTGGGGTCCTGGGCAGGGGAACCTCCCTCAGCTCCTTTTCAAACCCATTGGAGCCCACTTACAGCTACGTAAATCAAGACAAGCATGACATAGGTTTCCCAGTCCTTCGACTTTGCCAGAAATCCAAGGAAGAGGCGCCTGCGTGCATTCCCCCCACCATGTGCTCGCTCAAGAAACATTTCTTTGGAAGCATGTGGCTCGAGGGGAGCGTGGGAGTTGGAGGCTATGGGAGGCCCTTCACCCCCAATAGCCTGCCACAATGTTTCTACTTGGTTGAGAATGCTCAAAAGCAGTCATGTACCCCTATGTGTCTGATAGTCCTGACAGTGTGGACAAGTAGTAGTAGTTAATTTCCTGCTAAAAGGCAAGACATCTATGGGGCCTGGTGTTAGGTTGGGAAATACTGGGGTTTCTTCAGCTCATCAGTTAAAAGGGTTCCTCTTTCTGTAAACTTTCTACTTTCAGTGGAATGTGGAGAAAGGGGTTACCAGCACAGATTCAGCAAATAAACTTTACAGTCTTTCATGAGCCCTTTTAGCAGAAGATTCTTAGTCCACATGTTGCATATCTATATTTCAGCTGTGAGCAACAACTTGATTATAATAGAAGAGAGGGTGAGACTGTGACATGCAACTCAAACCATTTCCTGTGGCATTCGGCCATTTGGTCTGGACTTGCACTTCTCTTTTGGCTCCTATTTGCTTTCCTATTACAGACTGTCCATACAGGGAAACTGTGTTCAAACATTAGGACATACGAAGGCTTCCATTATGTGGGAAAGGACTTGGGCTAGGTTAATATTACAAATTCAAAATGTCATCAATTCCATACAAACCCAGAGAGTTCTAGATATTACTTGCTTAAAGTGCTCTATTACCCTAGCCTTTCTTTACAAATAAAGAAACTGAGTCACACCTGTTTTTGACTTGTCTACACTATCATAGTTAGTGCCTGCATCCTATTGAATTCGAGAAAACAGTTCTGAGTGTATTGATAGAGTTGAATGTATTTCAAGTTTTTTTTCCTTTTTTTTCTTTTTTGTTTCTTTTTGATCCAAGTTCTTTCTATATAGTTCTGGCTATCCTGGAACTTGCTAAGTAGACTAGGCTGAACTTGAACTCACAGACATCCTCCTACTTTGGCCTCCTGAGTATGTGAGCCATCATGCCCAATCAAGTAGTTGAAGTTTTTAATGAACTGACTTTGAAGTTAACCAGTTTGTGGTTAAAAAAAAAAAAAAAAAAAAAGTCATCTTACTTCTTTCCTGCTCCATTTGCCCCAGTCAGTCCAGACTGCTGTGATCAGCAATAAAAAGTTTAATTCAAAAGAAAAGTTAAGGGATATTTTCCATAGTAGTTTTATACATCTAGTAAGGATACTAAAAGAAAAACATTTATCTCTATTAATAAGAACACCATGGTAATATTCTTTCCACTCTTTGGTTGTTTGTCCAGTTTCATCTTTTATGTTTTACCTGATTTGACAAGGTAACTAGATGACTATGAGATAGCATCACTTTCAGTTCCTAGCTAATTTCACTGTTCCATAGTGAACATAGCTTGATGCAGTAGATCAAGTATTGGAACCCTGAACATAATATTGACTTGAATTTTCTTTTTACCCCTCCAGTATATTTTTGAACTTTGCATAATTTCTATAAGCCAACATGTCACACTAATGAAAGTAGGAATGCAGTATGGCACATTTTAAGACAAACAATTTGACTGAACAGTATGATTTGGTAAACTTTTAGGAAAGAGTTCACCTGAGATTTTTAACAGGATTTTAAAACATCATTCTATATATTATGTATCATTATAATAATTTCCGAATATGAGTGTGTGTAAAGGAGTCCTGTATGAAAACAAGACAGCTGTATGGCAATAGAAATTATTTGTCTGGGTTGTTGTGCTGTTAAGGGTTCAAAACTCTTCAAAATATATGAAAAAATTTTGGGATGTTAATTTTTTTTTTTTGTTTCATGGCTTTTAAGTTTCTTACAAGCATCCATGATTTGGAGGAAAAAAAAAAAAAGAAGTGTTTCAGTTCAAAAGGCAGCAAAGGAGGTGACAGCAGGGGACTTGAACACCTTGAAGAAAGAAAAGAAAGCACTGGGGACAAGGGAGAGCCATACAAGGATGGCTGATGAAATACAAAGTTTAGATCACAATATCTATATGCTGTTCAGCTGTGGTGGAAGTTTCTGCCACATTACAAAATTTACTGGATCACTGTAGCCTAATTTTAAAAAAAAAACTATATGCATTTAGATACAAGGTATCTCATTTAGTTGAGCATATATTTAGAAAAATGAGAATATAGGGTGTATTCTTTTCCAGGCAAAGTGACTTTTAGATCCTCAGCTTATCGATGGCTATCAGTGAGAAGTTTTTCACATTGGTCATTCAGAACTGTAATGACTTCTGTTCAAGGTTGTGTGAGTCAAATTTTAACAGAATTCACTTCATTTTTTTTTCAGACATGTATCCTCTTAATGAGCCCCCTTCTCCATCCAAACAGTCATATGTTTATCTGTCTATTAGTGAAGGCAGTTCATTCAGTAACACAAGGCATTTTAAATAATATATTGGTATTAGAGTTTTGGGTTCTATATAACTTTCGGATTAGGCCCAGATTGTAACATGCTATTAACTGGCATGATTGTTCATTTGATTAGTAATTTGATGTCAACCATGACTTGTTTTTTGTTTAACTGAATAGGAGAGTATCCTAGAGAAGTGTAAGTGAGAAACTCTTATCTTGTATCTCACACATTTAAAGCAATGTTTTAATCATTCAGAGGATGCAATGTTGGAGTTAAACAGTTCAGTTGGTATAGTGCTTGCATGCAAACATGAGGACTGAGTTTGATGCCCAATAATATGGTATAAAGCCTGGTTTGGTGGCACACATTAGTTATCCCAGTGCTGAGGGTAGGACAAGGTAGGCCTATCCTTGGGGCTCACAGGACATCTAGCTTAATCTAACCAAAGGGGTACCATATTACTTTGAAAGAGACTCTCAAAAAAAAAAAAAAAAAAAAAAAAAAGGAAATTCCTTCTGATGAATGGCTGTAAGATTGATCTCTGGCTTCTACAAATGTGGGCATATACCAGCAAATACACATACACACACACACACACACACACACACACACACACACACACACACACACACACGAGAGAGTGAGAATTAAGAGGACATTTCAAAAGTGTATCTTCCATCACAAGATGGTGGATATAGAAAAGCCTCACACTAGTTGGAAATTTTATATTTTAATTTTCTGCTTGTATAATTTCTGATGTTTTTCCTTTACTTTTTCCTTTACAGTGAAATTAAGTTAATAACTTTTTCTGATAGGTGTGAGAGGTAGATTGAAACCGAAATTAGAGTGTTTAGCTGTTAACTAAAAGTTCATTATAGTAGCACACTAATATTCTGGTTACTATGTAACTGAGTATTTGCTTATTTTTTTTATAATTGAAGAATTATGTTTTAATTTTAAATAATGTTTTGAGCTTAATGGTTTTATGTACAGAATTATGTACACCAAACTTCCACATTTGGTGAAAAGCAGTATTCATAGTCAGTGATAATGGTGCATACCTGTATTTCCAGCATTCTTGAAGTAGGAACATCTTACATTTGAGGCCAGCTTGGGCTATAGAGTGAGGCCTTGTCTTAAAATAATACTCCTAGTCCAGTGAAGCAGATAGGGGAGTTAATTATATAGAAGTGCTATAAAAATGTCACAGAGGGGCATTTCAGTTAAATTGGATTTTGGTTTTTTTTTAAGGATTTTTTTTTTTTTTTTAGACAGGGTTTCTTTGTATGTATCCCTGGTTGCACTGGAACTTGCCCTGTTGACCAGGCTGGTGTCTAACTCAGAAATATGCCTGGCTCTGCCTCCCAGGTGCTGGGATTAAAATGTGTGCCACCACTGCCCAGCCAAATTGGATTTTAAAGCTATCTCTTTGTGTATTTATGTATTAAGGTATAGGGCCTTCTTTCCCAAGTGCTGCATCTGGGACAATGCTGCAGAGCTCAGTCTGGTGGTGAGGATGGGGGAGAGCTGGCTGGCTAGCCAACCCTGCGACTACCCAGCTACAGAACTATGGCTATGAGTTGGCCCTTCCCAGCATCTACTCCATGATCTGCTGGAGCATGTGAAGGGGCTGGGCCTGTAGATCCAAACCTACAGGATCTAAGTTCTCTATGACATAGGGCAACAACAGGATATCCAAGAGCAGTCCCCGTGATGGTCCAGTACAGATAGTGCAGCAGAAGCCAGAGGCCTGAAACCAGACCAATGACTCATTGCAATGAACACTTGCAAGTAAAGATATATGGAGTAAAGGGTTTACTGAGTGACTCACCAGGCCACACTGCAGTTTCCACAATGAGATTTTTCTTTCTTTTTTTTTCTTGTAAATTTTATTTTTGGGGTGGGGGCTTTCAAGGACAGAGGGCAGATATGAAGACATGGGGAGATGAATGGGATCATGATAACACGATGAGAAAGCCACAGAGAATAACTAGGAAATTAAAAAAAGAGAACGGTTTTAGTAGTAGACGTGTGCACCAAGGTTCGAACAGGGTTTGATTTAAGAATTGGAGAGAAAGGCATTCTAGATAAAATGTTAGGTA